AGAGAGAGAGAGAGAGAGAGAGAGAGAGAGAGAGAGAGAGAGAGAGAGAGAGAGAGAGAGAAAATGGGGCGGGTGTTAATGGGGCAAGCGGCGCGGTGGGTGGCTTTTCCTGTACTGACAAAGTGGGTTCTTTTTCCAGCCTGAACCTATTCCCGCCAGAAGCCAAAAACGAAAAAAAAAAAAACAAAAAAAAAAAAGGGAGGGCCTGCTAGCAGCACCTGCTCCCAGGCCAGGCCACGGGATAAAGGGAGGTACCACTAGCCCAGGCCACCTCCTGTTTTTGCCAATTATGAACGGGTAGGCCGTTGAACGCATACTTTACTGTTTTTCTTGCGGTTTCGAATTGCTCACGGCCCAATCTTGCAGTGGACTGTTATTTCTGCGAATTCTGAACTGTGCACCTGTCACAGGCGCAGTTGTCTCAATAGATAAATATAGGGTCCCATTTTTGCACCAGCTGATTAGGGTAGAAAATGTTGCGCGAAGGCTTGAGCACGCGTTTCGGTCCAACAGCCAGCCGGTACAGAAACAAGCATGAGATTGGCAGCAAATGACGACGTCATGATAGAGAAAATAATATCCGTTATTTTAATATTTTATAACATTCAAAGGTTGGTATTCATAAGCGATCAGCGGGAAATCAGGGTTCACGTTGGAGACCCTGATTTCTCTCGATGCCTCTGGCAAGAAACCACCCGGAAACAAATTTCACTAACCGTTGTCCAAATTCGAGTGGCTGACTGACTTTGGCGGAAGTTTGGCCACCCGACACGGGGCTCAACACCAGGTCAGAAAAGACAGAAAAAGACAAGAGTAGACAAGAAGAGAGAGGACACAAGATGTGAAATCCGTATTTTTTAAAATTGCTTGCCAGGGAAAAGTAACCGGAATGGTGCCCCCAAGGGCCCCAACAATAGAAGGGAAAATAAGAGCATACTCTCACAGGGACCTGATGACCTTAAATCCCAAAGTCTGAGGCAGGTTTTGGGTCACATTGGAGAGGCGTGCTACTCAAATGTACTTCTTCGTGACCCATTTGTCAGCAGCCCGCGCGGCCGTGGGAGGACCCTTTTTGAGACCACCTCCAGAGGCGGTCTTAAATTACGTTCAATTTTTTCTTTCTCCGTGAGGCATTTCAAGAAATTTGTGCATGAAGAAGTAAGCAGTGCGACTACGTGCACTTCCTGGGAGGTGTCAAATGTCATTATGTCAGGGCTTTTTTTGGATGAAGTCCGCCCGCATAACCACATGAGGACTTGAAGTCCCAGGCCTGCCCAAATGCCTCAAAATTTTGAGACTTTTCGTCCTCGTGTGAATATGCCCTAAGGCCCCTAAGTCTTTCGGAAGAGGATTGGAGAACTTTCTCAAAGTCAGGGAGAGTCCGACTAGGATGAAGAAGGGACTAGAAAAGCCTTAGTAATCAAATAGGCCTACGGTGCGCCTACCCATATAGACAGGAGACCGGGATTGCGATCAGTTACCTTAGAAAGTAGTGCCCGACTCCCCGGGGGTTCATATCCGAAGGACCCCCGTCCCAGAGGTCATTTAGCGCCAAAAATGGGGAACCCCTTTCCAAATTGCAGGCTTGCCTCGGGAAAAAATCTACATGAAAAACCATGATGCTCTTTTGTGGCTGAATATTCCTCCCTCCTCTGTGTCCTGGGAAACGTAGACAATGAGGAAGCTTGGACTCCCTGGAATTAGGGAGTGCTGTCTCGTTCCTGTGTTAAAAAACGAGGGTTCACCCCCCACCAACTTACCCGCAAAGTGAACCGAGATAACCATACACTCACACTCTCAGTTTCGCTCAATGCAGTGCATGCAAAGAGTGGCTGCACGACTCGGAAATGCCGGAAGATCATTATGTTTAGAAAAAGCACACACTTCTTCATACTCGAGGTTTTCCGAACGGCCAACACGTCCAACGAGCAGAAGAAGAAGAAAAACAGATCTCTCTCTCCATAGGAGTAGATCCAGATATATTTACGGACATAGTTAACCCCACTTTCCTTACACACACACACACACACACACACACACACACACACACACACACACACACACACACACACAC